AGACTATTTTGTGCCTTTCCCCCTAAGAATGCATTGAATCTAGCTCCCATTTAATCCATGACAGTCCACACTCAAAGCTTCACAAACACCACGTTTTATCTTCAAAATAAGTGGTGGACTATGTAGAGTATGTTTTATAGCTTGTTTTTAACTGTTTACATGAAGGGTTAGAGAAAACAAACCCATCTCAGAGCTAGAGTAAATATTGCTTTGAGAACTGAAACTAAAATTTAAAAATTACTCCTATTATTTCACATGAAGAGCAGTTTCCCCACCTCTCCAGCTTATATACCCATCTCCCTCCTCTGGATTTCAGCATTTTTGCTTGTGGACATCATTTTGTCACTTGATCAACAACTTTAGTGTTAATTCAATTCATCTTGAGTGTGAATCTCTCGGGGGCAAGAATGATGAACTTGGATTTTATTTTATTTTTATTTTATTTTTTATATTCTTCATAGAGGCATGGACAATGACTTGTCTATTGAAAGCTCTTTGTACAAATGTGAAATTTAAGATGGTTTAGATTAATTCATCAAAAAATTTGAGACCACCATCTGAATGTCAGATATTGTGCTAAGCATGGGGGATTGAGAGATAAATAAAACAGAATCCTTGCTTTCAAGGAGTTCAAAGTCTTGTGGGCATGACAGTCCCATAAACAGTGGTGCCAGCGTTACTGCATATATAGTATTTTATACACAATGCATTATCTATGTACACCCATCTTCAATGCCCAGAAAGGATATATATCTTCTGAGATTTACCTGTTATGATTTCAGTATTTCTACTGCAGTTGTGCGGTAGCTTGATCTTTACGCCCTGGAGAGCTACCTTTGGGGCAGAAATTGTGGCAGTGAAGGACTTTGCAGGGACTACCTTTGCATTTCTGTGAACAGGAGACAATGTACTTAATGTATTTAAGTTACTGTCACTTCTGCAAAGAGAACTCCTCGGCCCCTTTGCAATTATCCTTGAAACTCTTCATAGTCCACAGACTCTCAGAGCTGGAAGGGGTTTTAGAGGCCATTCATCCATTTTCTCACCCAGCAGAAATCCTCCTTAGGGTATCCCTGGCAATCACTCAGTCTCTGCTTGAATATTCTGTGACAGAGCTCACTGTTTTTCCAGGCAACTCATTCCCATCCAGCTGCTTATATATATGGTGGTGCTCAACAAATGTTGGTTGGAAGAAATGATATTGAGCAACATATCCTCCACCGATACTTGTTATCTTCTGCAGAACAACAAAGAACACATCTACCTTCTCTTCTACTCAAGAGTTCTTGAATATTCAAAACAGTGGCTTATGCCTCTCTGGAACCTACTCATCTCCAGGGCATTCTGTAGTTTTATTTCAAACTCCTCTTCATATGATAGAACATCCAGGCATGATGGAGAGAAGCTATATTGTGACTATTTCTCTCTACTTTCTAGCTTTTTTTAAGACCTTGCTTTAAGTGGCTTCAGTTTTCTAGAGTCTAGGTTATGTACTAATCAGTGCTAAATCAGGCAGGAAGACCTTTGCATCACTCATCTGTTTGTTAGATTTCTATTAATGAAGCCTAGACCAAGATTTGCCCTTTTTTGCCATCACAACACACTGATGTTGGATTTGGCGTCCGCTAAACAAACCAGTGACTCCCAGCAATGGGTCCGCCACAGGTTTGACCCAAGCTCCTGACAACAAAGTCAAAGAGCGGTTGGCACACTACTAGAGACTGCCTTCGGGTTTAACGTTACCCTCTTGGTAAGGACTAAAACAGACAAGGGAAATAGCAGACGTAAGTACCAGAACCAATTAGCAAGTTCAGGTTTGGAGCATTCCTTAGAACTCCTAGGTTTTCCGTACCTAACACACATAAGTGATTAAGACCCTCAAGCAAGACTGGCAACAAAGGGACCATTTGTCCTTTCATAGTCTGAACTTTCTATAAATGGCCTTGCACTTTTGATCATCAGTCATTTTAAAACAGGTCAGAAGAGTCACAAGTTAAGCCCTGAATTGGCTGATGGATATTTCAAACATAGCAAGTACCACAAATCAACTACAGATTTTTAAAAAATCCAAATTTTGCATTCTTCATCCCTCTTTTAGGAAAATATTTGCTAAAAGGAGCGTCACCCTGGAGTGGCAAGTACCACCGAGAGGGAAGCGATGCTCTGGATGTATGATCCCCTCACCGCTTCAAGTTGCCCTGCATCGGGCTCTGGCTGAGCATGGAGGCGTGCAGGGTTACGGGCTGGGGCAGAATAGGCTCCTGTCAGCCAGATCCTAGGACGCCCACATGAGGCGTGGGGTCGTGGGCTCACTTTTGACCAACAGGAGTACCAGCCAGGCGGTGAAGATCAATAAGGGGGGGAAGAAAGCTTTGTGCCCCACGTTGTTGAGGTCAGGGCTGGAAGCAATTTCAGGAGAGGTCTTAGCAGTTTCCTAAAATCCATCTCTCTGCACCACGCATTCAGCCCAGGTCAGCGATGCAACATTCCGTGAGGAGGAAACTGTATCCGCCTTGGGCTTGAGGAAGCAGCGGTTCAGAGCACTTTCCTCCAGTCCGCGCTCACAGCCGGCCCCTCTCTCTCATCCGACCACACTTCTCCTACTTTGCATTCTCTGCACCTCCCTTCTCCCTGCTCCCCCGACCTTCTTTCCACACGGCCCCCTGAGGCTTCGGCGCCCACCCCCACCCCCGCCTTACTTGGTCCCCAAGCGAACAGATGGGAGGAGCTGCATCAGGCTGGCGCAGACTGCCCGGCGGCCGCTGCGGGGCGCTCGCTCCAGCACCCCGCCCGCGAGAGCCCGGGGCCACGCCCTCGCCTGTCGCTATAGAAACTCCGTCCACCCTTTTTGTGACTCCAGACCTGAAAGGACTTGGGCTCTGGCGCGGTCCAAACCACCTTTCGCATCAGAGCCTGAAGAACACCTCTTCCCCTCGCTCACACTCCCATTCAATCGCCCCAGATAGGGTTGAAGGATATTCCAAGGATGGGGAGATCAGAGTTCGCTGAACTGCCTAGGCTCGTGAAATTACCCCTACTTTCCCCCTCTTCAAAAGTCTGCATCAGGTTTCCTGCATGAAAACAGGAAGTTATAATTGAATGAAAGTAGCACAGCCTGGAAGAATATAGTCTGCCTGATGGAGGAAACATTAAAAAAAAAAAAAAAAAAAAAAAGCTTTTTGGAAGAGCTTAGTTGAATTTGAGTCTTGAGTCTTAAGGCCAAATAGGAATTAGCAATGTAGAGCAGGCAAACGAGCCAGGGTAAAGGCCCAGAGCGAGGGGAATCACATAGTATCAAGGGTGCTGCCACTGTCTGGTGCCCCATGGGTCAAAAGTGCACGTGGGCAGCATGAGACCAGGTTGAAGAAGCAGGCAGGGCACAGACAGATGGGAAACCTCTTGTGAACTGAATGGGGTAGGGTGTATGTATGTGGATTTTAAGCAGGGGAAATGTTCATGCTCAGATTTTAGGAAACTCTGGCAATATGGTATGAAGGGTAGGCCAGAGGAGGTTGAGAATCAAGGCAAGAATGCCTGTGAGAAGTAGTCAGTGATGATATTTCAGACAAGGAGAGGGCAGCTCTGAGCAATTTATGGAGTGGAAGCTCAGTGACTGGCATGAAGGGTGGACGTGCCCGAGGTCCTCCAGTTGTCGGTGGTGCCATTTACCAACAGAATATACAGGAGGGGGGGCGGTTTACTGATCCAATGATGACTTATTGCATCAAATTATCAATGGCCTAGGCTCTTGTGTAGAACAAGATCTGGGCTAAAAATCACAGAGGTGACCACTGGAGTTTGAAGCCACCTAAGCTTTAATAAAAAAAAAAAAAAAAGCAGGGGAAAAGAATGGAATCAGACAACATAGGACATTATAGTGGGAAGAGTGGGTGTAGGGGACACAAAACATTAGAAAACTGCAAAATAATGAAGAGTAGGCAGGACTGTGGGGAGAAAATTATAAAAGAATACTGTCACGTGGGCCCAGAAAAGAAAATGTGATGAATAGGGCCTATAAGAATAGGTGAGAAAAATGTACACTGGATTTGACAACAGAAAGGCCATTGGTGCTGTCTGCAAGGCCAGTTTTAACATAATTTAAAGTAGTTTTCAACATGAACTATTACTCTGAATGACACAGAGAAAACAGGTTCATCAGGCTGGTGCCACCAGATGACTAATCAGGGACAGGAGTACCTAATACAGGCTAGACTCTTAATAAATGTATCCTGTTGAACTGCACCATAGACAGCATGCATCTCAATACACTGGAAACTGAATACATGTTTTCAGAAGGGGATGGAGTGAGGTAGGTTAGGTGGTACATGACAGTGCAAAAATATAAGCAAGAAAAATGGACAACAGCAACGGGCAAATGCTCACTTCAGTCATAATTCTAAACTACTTATTTTGACGTTAACATGGATGTTTCTACAAACCAAGAAAAACTGAACTAGTCATACTATACATGTTTAAACGGTTGACACGATTTGAAGAGCTTCTATTAAAAAGTGATCAGGAGTCGGGGCGCCTGGGTGGCTTAGTCGGTTAAGCGTCCGACTTTCGCTTGGGTCATGATCTCTCGGTTCGTGGGTTCGAGCCCCTCGTCGGGCTCTGTGCTGACTGCCAGCTCAGAGCCTGGAGCCTGTTTCAGTCTGTGACTCCCTCTCTCTCTGACCCTCCCCTGCTCGCGCCATCTCTCTCTCTCTCTCTCTCTCCTAGAAATAAAAAATAAAATAAAATAAAAATAAAAAGTGATCAGGAGCTGGCTGACATTCTCACCAGAAAATGTAAAATAACCCTAACTACTTTTATTCATAACAAATTTGGAGCTAAGCTTCCTGAAAAGCTGGATTATCTAATATCATAATAGGGATGAGCAGGTACTTGACAGCCATTCTCTAAAGCAGTGGCTTAACATAAAATGATGATTTTAAGAAACAGCTCCCCTCGCCCTTTATATTTACAACAACAAAACAAAACTTAAGGTTTAGTTTATTTTTTTGATAAAGCATTCATTTAATCATGAAATGCAGACAATCAGAGACAGGTGGATACAATGGGGCTCAAGCAAAGAGCATATCAAAACCTTTTCACTTTTATTAAAGGCATTGACGAGAACTTCATAAAATGTCATGAAATTCTATTTGCTATACAATAAACATCTACTTCTGAGTAGGAGACATATGTCATTACAGGAACCATTTTAATGTGTAAACGAATTCTGAATTCTTACTATAAGTATTTGGCTAAAATATGAAACATCTTTGCAATTAAAACTGACAATATAGCTTAAGTAAGATTTCAGAAATGTTTCTTGGAAAAAGTAGGAATGTTTCCTTTTGCCAGATAAACTCTGAACAGTTACAGTTAAGGTGCCATAAATTAGACAAAGCTAGGAAGGAGCATCAAGTTTTTAGAAAAGAACAGCATGCAGCATGGACTTCCTCCATGTCAAGCTGACAACCACTGAATGGCAATGACATTATTATACACAGGAAAAATAGGATACATTCTTCAGAAGGAAAGGGCATTACAAGATAATTCTGATAAACAAACCTCTTATAGAAGTCTCAAATAGCTTCAGAGAACATCATCACAGAATGGGTAGAGGCAATTTATAGGATATTAAAGGATTCTTTTATATTACAATACCCTCCTTAAATATAAACACAAATCAAATATAAACACACTTGTAGAACTGTGATTCCCTTAATCAAACATGTGTTTACTACCACACTCAGCTACTAGCGGCATTTGGATGCAAAGGTTTAACTCGTGCTAATCTGGACAAACCCAGGCGGAGACTCTGATTTGGAGACTTAACAGACACGCCTGCCAGTGGGCTCTTCCTGCTGCTGCTTCCGGATATTGCTGAAAGAAAACATAGCACCTGATGCTGATGATCTTAGAAATTTCCTAACAAAGATCAACTTACAAACCTGAAGATGCAAAAACAGGTAGGTAGAGATTACTCTGGTATACAAGCTCTATCCAAGATCAAAAGAATGAACAGTATTAAAGAGTAGAAAGAGTACAGTACTGCCTATTTTCAAACGTGCTCCGAAGGCAAGGTAACAGCTCCAAAAATTTACGCTGGAAAGCTGAAGTTGCTAAATTGGGAGCAAATCACACTGGTTGTAGAGGCATGGAGAATAAAGAAATGCATGGAGTTATAATTTCTAAAGTAATAGATAAATCTAATGCTTTTTTTAAAAATCCCATAATTTTTCCAAATACTCCTTGCATCTATTTTTTTCAAATATTAAATAACTGTAAACACGATCAATGCTCTTTTTACTTATTTATACTAGTTCTTTTAAGTGACATCGTATAGTATTTGCCTTCTTTGACTGGGGGTGGGTATAGGTGCATGAAATAGATAAGGGGGGGATAAAGGGGATCAAGAGGTACAAACTTTCAGTTACAAAAGAAATGTCCCAGAAGTGAAAAGTATAGCACAGGGAATATAGTCAATAATATTATAATAACGTTTGGTGACAGATGGTGACTACACTTACTAAGGTGAGCAGTGAGTGATGTATGGAATTACTGAATCAATATATGGCTGATTATTTCAGAAGATGAAATGAAGTAATTAAGAGACTTTAAGTAATCATGCAATCTCAGACTAAAATCTTTTTCTTATAATGTTTTTAAAATATTTCAAGTTTTTATTTAAATTCTAGTAAGTAACATATAGTGTAATGTTAGTTACAGGCGTAGAGTTTAGTGATTCATCACTTACATATAACACCCAGTGCTCATCACAACAAATGCCCTCCTTAATGCCCATCACCCATTTAGCCCATCCCCCACCCCCACCTCCCCTCCAGCACCCCCCAGTTTGTTCTCTATAGTTAAGAGTCTCTTATGGTTTGCCTTGCTCTGTTTTTTTCCCTTCTCCCATGTTTATCTGTTTTGTTTCTTAAATTCCACATTGAGTGAAATCGTATGGTATTTGTCTTTCTCTGGTGTATTTCATTTTAGCTCCATCCACATCACTACAAATGACAAGACCTCATTCTTTTTTGTGGCTGAGTAATATTCCACTCTGTGTGTGTGTGTGTGTGCACGCGCACGCATGCGTGTATCTTTCCATAGCTTGGATATTGTTGATAATGCTGCTATAAACATTGGAGTACATGTGCCCCTTTGAATCAGCATTTACCCAAGGATACAAAAATACTGACTCAGACTGAAATTTGTCTATTAGTACCTAGTTATCAGGGAGTGACCACTATGGATCAATCAAGAAATGTCACTGAGGGGTGCCTGGGTGGCCCAGTCAGTTAAGCATCTGACTCTTGACTTCAGCTCAGGTATGATCTCACAGTCATGCGATTGAGCCCTGCCTTGGGCTCCAAGCAGAGTGGGGAGCCAGCTTAAGATTCTCTTTCCCTTGCCCTTTGCCCCTCCCCCAACCTCTAAGAAAAGAAAAAAAAGAAAAGAAAAGAAAAGAAGGAACAGAAAAGAAAAAAGAAATGTCAGTGAAAAGAAGTAAACCAAACTTGAGTAGATTTGGAGGGACTTAGGAGAGGGGACAGATGGGGAGAAACAGACCAGATGGAGGAAACTGGATACAGAGAGCCTCTTAGAGAAGATATACATTGTGTTTAAGGAAGAAAAATCATATCAGTTTCACTGGACTAGGAAGTGGATACTTCAGCATGAAATAAATGGGGCCTGGGCTAGGGTTTTGGCAATGTTAAGAAGAGTAAAAGTCAAAGAATTCTTGAAGGATCAGCAAGGCTTGGCTGTGGAACAAAAGAACACAAAGAGAAGTGAAGTCTGCTAGGGCATTTGTGAAATGCTAGAAGTCCCACGTACAGATCCTGAGGCTTCAGTCAGACTATGATCAATGGGTCTTGAGCAAACATTTTTGCCAAAAATAAGTATCAGGAATTTTAAATGTGGACACTCTTTGACACTGTAACTCCACTATAGGAATTTATTCTAAGAAAATAATCAAGGATGTGCCCACCAATTTCAAAAGTAAGGATGTCTGGGCTTCTTGTAACCTTATTTATGACACTGAAAAAATAAGCAATCTGGATGCTCGATATAAGGGAATGATAAATGACAAATAAATGCAGCGACTAAAAACCTTGGTTTTGAAGAATACATAATATGGTATAACATTTACAATGAGGAAAAAAAGCTGCCAGTGATCATTTTCCAAGCCCCTGCCCTTAGTTAATAAACATACCATACCTGGTGGGACCCACTTGGGTTTTTTGTTTTCGGTTAAAGGACTGTGTACTTGTGATGGTTTCCTAGAGACCTCCAAAGAAACAGAAACCTTTTTTGATGAAGGCTGAGGTTCTGATTTCACAGCAGCTGGAGCAGAGTCTCCTGAAGTCACTTCTTTAAAAAATATACATAGAAAAAGTTTTTCACAGAGGAAGAATAAGTCTACAGGTAGGTATAAAAACTATAAAGTTACATAATCTTATAAAAATTAAAAAGGCAAGATTATCAATTAGAGAAACTCTTATTATATACAAACATTTCTTGAGAGCCTAGGAACAGCCATCTTTTATGAGCATTTATATGCAAGGCAGTATGGTAGGCATATCATGTACACCACCTTTAACCCTTAGAGTAATTCTGATATGGACATTCCTGGCCCCACTACCAGATAAGGAAACAGTAGTCTGCTAGCTGGTACGTACCTGAGCCAGGATAGGAACCAGGTCTGGCTCCACAGTCCATACCTGTAGCCATTATATAATGGTGTCTCATCAGTATGTGTCAGTGAGATGATATATTAGGCTCTAGGGTTACAAAGGAGCTCCTAGATCCTGCTCCCAAGGAACTTACGGTTTAGTCACTAGGCTCTAGTAGAAAGGGGAAAAAAGTAAAGATGTGTATAATACAGTGGGATAAGAGATAAGATACTCTAGAGGTATGCACAGGAGGGAACCTACAATCTGTATACATCCCTGCATAGGGATCAAAGATACAGGGAAGTTGTTTGAGGATAGTTTGAGCCAAATCAAGGCTGAAGAGGAAAGATGAGTTAGAGGGACATTTTACAGGAGGTGGGAACAGAGCATGCAAAGCTGGAAAACGCAGCAGGTCCCAGGACCAGCCTCTGGTTCAGTATGGCTGAAGCAGGAATGTCAAGGAGAGAGACACGGATGAAGAGCTGTGCACACCAGTGAAGGGGTCTGGCTAGTCACCATCACATACTGACTTTTCTCAGGAACACTTGTATTCTGAATACATCTTTCTGATGGTAGCATGTGGCAAGCAGACCACCTAGAAGGCTCTTAAGGGAATCTAGGTGGGAGGTGATAAAGGCCTGAACCCAGGGAGCAGGGAGGAAAGAACAGCAGATTGGAGATCTTTCAGGCATTAGATAGGGGGAGAGGGGGAAGGTAGTGATGGAGATGAAGAAATAATCATAACTTGCAAGTTCCTGTCATGGGCACACTGCTGGATGGTGTCATTGACCCAGGGATGAACACAAGAATGAGACCAGGTTTTGGTCTTTTTTTTTTTGAGGGGGAGGGGGGGATGTGCTGTAAATGAAGGGAGGAGAGGTAGAATATAAATTCACTTTTTAGATAATACTTGCTGTGATATACCTAAGCGATATCTAAATGTATCTGAAGATGAACATTTTCATTATATATACTTCTTAATGTTAACTTCTATATTCCTAGATCAGCACCGTCCAACAGAATCTTTTCTGCTGTGATGGAAATTCTGTGCTGTCCATGTGATAGCCACTGGCCATATGTTGTTATTAAGCACTTCAAATGGGATTAGCAAAACCATGAATTCACTTTTAAAGTTTATTTAATTTTAATTAAATCTAATATAGCTGTTTTTAGCCTGTGGCTCTCATATTGGATAGAACAGCTCTCAAATACGTTCTCTATCAAGGGAAAGATTGTAACATGTGCCTGACAAAAGACTCTCAAAGGTTATTCCATATGTTATTAATGGGAATAGAAATATAATCCATATTTCCTAATTCTTAACCACATTATTTAGTATTTAATTTTACTACTAAAATTATATATTATGCTTCCTTGTGAAACAACTTGCTTCAATACAGTAGACCTGAAATGGTAAATTCCAATGTGTAAACTGACATTTTATTCTTAATTTTTAGTGTTTCTTGGTGAGGAAGCATACACAAGCATCCAAAGAAAATATAAAATAAATTCATACTGTCAGTGACTTTTTCGTATCAATTTGTGGTAGACAGAAGAATGGCCCCTCAAAGATGTCTATATTCACCTTCCACAGCAAGGGACTTAGCATATGTCATTAAGTTAAGGATCTTAAGATGGGGAGACTATCTTGAAATATCTGGATGGTCCAATGTACTTACAAGGGTCATTATAAGTGAAAGTGAGAAGCAAGAGAAAGAGAGAGAGAGAATCAGTGATGTGATGTGAGAAAGTCTCTGCCTTTTCTGGCTTTGAAGGTGGAAGTGGACTACTGTGGACCACCAGTCAAAGAGCACAGGCAGCCTTGAGATGCTAAGAAAGTCAAGAAAAGGAATTTTCCCCCAGACTAGCTTGATTGTAGTGCAGGCAGAAGCACTTTGAACTTGTGGCCTCCTCAATTATAAAATTATAAATTTGTGGTTTTTAAGCCACTACAGTTGTGGTAATTTGTTACGGCAGCAATCGGAAACTAACACAGTTTTATCTCTAAAACCTTCTGCGCTTAAAACCTTTCTGAAAACCAGATGAATTTGTCAATTTAAAAAGATGCTAATTAAAACCTTATTCAGAATACAGTGGAGGGAGGAATATGAATAAGTATTTAGTTCTTATTTCTCAGTAAGTACTCAGCACCATGCTACTTAAGGTGACAGCAGCTCCCACTAGTAAATGGAGTTTGAATAACAAAAATCTTTGTTTCAAACAATGAAGACATAAAAATATGTATTAATAAGGAAAAATCAAGTTAGTGTAAGTTATAGTTTATAATAATCTATCATATATTATGAACTCAAGAAAAACCAAAAAAGCCCTAAAACACATAGCAAAAGGATTCTCAAAACAGAGACTTAGTCAAGCATGAAAGCAAGAAATTAGAATCATATAAACTTCCCTGTTAACTGCCTGGAAAAAAAGTGGTCCAGGGACTACAGCTTGGGCTCTAAATAGACAAACCTGGGTATAAATTCTAGCTCCTCACTTAATTATTTGTAAGAATTTCCACAAATTATTTAACCTGTCTGAGGCTCAGTTTTCTCACTATCAAATGCAGATGATAATGGCTACCTCAGAGGGTGGCCGTTCATGCTAGTGGAGGGTAATTCTAGTCAGAGCTGGTAGGCAGTAGGCGGTGGGCAGAACTCTTGTCTGCTTTTCTCCCTTCCCCATCCCCCTTTCCATTTACATACCTTGGCTAGAAATGAGCACTGACAAAATGTTAAGGAGAACAAAGGCAAAGGTAAGGAAAACACATTAAATAAACCAAAAACATTTTATAGTGTTTTGGATTAAGCTTACCCAAAGTATTACATTTGGATTTAGGTTTCCTCTCCTTTTCAACTGGGGATTTGACCTTCACTTCTTTCTTTTTAATTTCTTTCACTCTGTTTTTTCTCATGGTGAAGTCTTCATCATTATCTTCACTCTCACTAAAATCAGAGTCATCCTCAGATTCTTCACCTAAAACAGAAGATTGCATACTTGATCTTTGTTCTAAAAACTGAGGCTTCCATTTATCCCTGAAACTAATACAATATTGCTTTTAAACAAAAAAATGGGCCTCTATGGCCTTGACTTTACAGCCTTTGCATGAGTCTTGTGTGCCTCCTGCTATACTATGCCACTGCGGTGACTGAGAGCACGGTCGGTCACCTGGGCCTGAATCCTGGCCCCTCTGCTCACACTTTGTGTGACCCTAGGCCACTCACTTCACTTATCTTTTCTATGTATAAATGAGGATCATCATAAAACCTACATCATAGAGTTGTTGTGTAGATTAAAGGAGTTAATATAGGCAAAGTGTTTAGAATAACATCTGGCAGATATCAAGCAAAACAGAATTCTTTGCTCTATTATCATTATAGTTCCCATCAGTAACCTTTACTTCCAATGTTTCCAGTTTAACTCCGTGACTTTTGAGAAGAATGGTAGGGTACAATATTAGCCACTCTTTCGAAACAATGACTTTGAAGGTAATAGTAACATTAATCATGTTACTTAATGATGTAAACTTCAACATTCTAAATAGAAACCCCTTGGGAATTGAGAACAGACTAACCATACCACAACATCTTAACTGATAATCCTACATATGATTTCATTTGGGGGCACACCTGTCATTTCCCACAAACTCTTCTCTGTACTGCATGGGTTCCTACAAGCCAGTGAGATAATAGGTTACGGAGCTACTGCTGCTCTGGAAATAAGCATGAAGAATATCTGATAGTTAAGCAATGATTCTTCTATTTGGGGGGAGGGTTCGGATACAGGAGGGGGTCAGAAAACCACGTCTTCTAAGTAATAAATTCTGAGTGCTAAGTGTAAGTAAGGGTTAGTACTATATTCATAAAAACTTTACATTTTTTATATTATAAAAGCAGTATATGCTTATTGCAGGAAATGTAGACCACACCAAAAAAGTATTAAGGGAAAAGAAAATCTCCTAATCTCACCACTCAGAGATAACTGTTATGCCCACCATATATAATATCTACCTATTGGGAGGAAATAATATATTTTATATGAAAATATCTATAAAATTTTTCAAGCATACACAAGAAACAATAAAACATCACACAGATTTAATATTCATCAATAATTTGCTACATCTGTTTCATCTCTCAACTTCTCCCTTTCCTTCTGGTGAGGCATAAGGTCATTACAATTCTTTTTTTTTTTTTTTTAATGTTTTATTTATTTCTAGGAGAGAGAGAGAGAGACAGCGTGAGGAGGGGAGGGTCAGAGAGAGAGGGAGTCACACACTGAAACAAGCTCCAGGCTCTGAGCCGGCAGTCAGCACAGAGCCCAACGTGGGGCTCGAACCCACGAACCGCGAGATCATGACCTAAGCGAAAGTCCCAGGCGCCCCAGGTCATGACAATTCTACATATTTCACAATGCATCTCTAGAAAATATGAGCTATTTTTTTACACACAACAATGTCGTTATCATATCTTACAGTATCAACAATAGTTTCTTGGTATCATCTTCTTTCTATTCAGTGCATATTAATCACTTTTTTTTTAAACCCCCAACATGGGGCTCAAACTCACAACTCTGAGATCACGATCTGTGCTGAGACCAAGAGTTGGACACTTTAACTGACTGAGCCATGCAGGCACCACTTAATCACTTTTAAATACAGCAATTGAAGTAACCAGGTCAGTTGTCTATAGAACTTCTGACACTCTGGACTAGATCAGGCTCATCTAATTATTTTTTTGTAAGAATATACTTCATAAGCGATGCTTTGTACTTCCTATTATATATCAGAAAGCATAGAACATACAGTCTTCCTCTTAGTTGGCTCAGTTGCCACCAGCCCGAATTATTGTGAAGATCCTCACCAGCCTTTCATTGATGGTCTTTGCCTAAATTAACGATGTCATTATGATCTTCAAATTATGATTTCCTTATTGTCTTTCCATGCAAGTAAAAACTTAAAAACAGGTGAGAGTAATCAATCCACAGAGTCACATGATGTTTATGGGGTTATATAGAATTAGGCATATAACGCCAGCAGACCACATGGAGGCTGCTATAAATAGTACTTCGTAAAATCAAATAATTATCTCTGGAGTCCCAAAAGGATCTAGATTCAGGGAGGGCAAGTAGCAGAGTTTCTCCGAAGTTTCAAAGTACAGACGCTAGGAAGACAAAACTTCCCATGTATCCCGAAGCTCTGGCTGTGCATGTGCTCTTTTCTGGGCTTGAGAGGATAAATGGTAGGAGCTGGCTAAACTCTACTCATCAAACTTCTCCAACTGATGGGGTCCAACTGATCATTATCAGTCAACAGAGAAAACAGGTTTTTTTTGTTTTTTTTTTTTTAGGGAAGATTCAGTTTATTTATTTTTTAAATAGTTTATTGCCAAGTTGGTTTCCATACAACACCCAGTGCTCATCCCCACAAGTGCCCTCCTCCATGCCCATCACCTCCCTACCTCTCCCCCCTCATACCCATCAGTCCTCAGTTTATTCTCAGCATTCAAGGGTCTCTCATGGTTTGCCTCTTTCCCTCTCCCCCACTATTTCCCCCCTTCTTCTCCCCCATGGTCCTCCGTTAAGTTCCTCCTAATCCTCCTATATGTGCAAACATATGGTATCTGTCCTTCTCTGCCTGACTTATTTCGCTCAGCATAACACTCTCAAGTTCCATCCACGTTGCTACACATGGCCAGGTCTCATTCAGAGAAAGCAGTTTCAATCATCTGGTGGTGGCAAGTGGAGCTCCCAGAATCCCTAGTCATTAGCACACCAAACTGGCAAACCTGAAAGGCCCAAACGATGGGGTTATGGATTCTGTGAATCTTCAGATGTCCTTGAGAAAAGTCTATGTTCTCTCCAATTTTCATTTTTCTTTCCCTGCTGAAAGTCACAAATGATCCTTTCTCTTCTCATCTAGGGTGAGTCAATACAGGGGAAAATTCTGACATTTCACCTAAAGAAAAGGATCCTGCTCCAAAATAACTTCATGTTGTCTGAAATGATACCAGTTACACATTCAAATGCAATAGTCACCCTAAGGGAACTGGAGAGCTGTTAGTCACCATCGGCTTAGGGTGAAAAATAAATAAATAAATAAACCGAGCGTATTGCTCCTTAAAGTACATTAAACATAAAGAGAAATAGGTTTATCTTTCAATTTAAAGGTAAAGCAGGCTTGGTTGGAATAGCTGAAGGAGGCTTATGCAGCCAGAAGACATTGTAAGGCTTTTGCATTCTGGGGTAGGGGACAGAAGAAGTTAAAAGAAACAAAGAGAGGGGGGCGCCTGGGTGGCTTAGTTGGTTAAGCGTCCGACTTTCGCTTAGGTCATGATCTCGCGGTTCGTGGGTTCGAGCCCCGCATCGGGCTCTGTGCTGACTGCCAACTCAGAGCCTGGAGCCTGTTTCAGTCTNAAAAAAAAAAAAAAAAAAAAACATTAAAAAAATAAAATAAAATATGACTGCCGGGGCACCTCGGTGGCTTAGTCAGTTAAGCGTCCGACTTTCGCTTAGGTCATGATCTCGCGGTTCGTGGGTTCGAGCCCCGCGTCGGGCTCTGTGCTGACTGCCAGCTCAGAGCCTGGAGCTTGTTTCAGTCTATGACTCCCTCTCTCTCTGACCCTCCCCTGCTCAAGCTGTCTCTCTCTCTCTCTCCTAGAAATTAAAAAAAAAAAAAAGAGAGAGAGAAACAAAGAGAAGATTCTGCCTAAAGCTTAGTTTGCATATTCACGGTGCAGGCTAGGGGGGTAGTTGTCACCCCTCAGCTAATGGGCCAGCTCCCTCTAAGGGAATGACTGCTTTTCAGGGTAGACCACATGGCACTTTATGGGGAGAACAGCCATACCTGTAGTTGGTTGAAACCAAAATAATGTAACAGGGAAAATAAACCAAAACCAGCTCTCAAAGAGCTGGAGAAATAGCCATTATTTTAGTTCATAAGTGACCCAAGGTAAGGGATACTTCTTAGAACCTAAGAATTTGTGAGTATCTACTACTATATAAACATTCGGCAGTATTTTCTCCCAGTGTCCTAACCAGTCTCATATCCAAAGATTCAGATACTCCACTTATTCACAAATCATTTTTACCACCACAGCTTCCTGTTATGATTACTGTCCTAGTTATAATGATAACAACCTTCATTATCAGAGTTCACAATACAATCACCATTTAACAACCACATTTTCCCCTATACAGCTAACAGGTCTTAAATTTGTCTAAAGGACATGAGAATAATTTTCAGTTAGAAATATTTTTTGCTGTCTTAATATCCAGCATAACCTCAGAAGCATTCAAATTTCTTTTATTGTTTATTTTGAGAGAGAGAGAGAGAACGAGCAGGGGAAGGGCAGAGAGGCAGAGAGAGAGAGAGAGAGAGAGAGAGAGAGAGAGAGAAAGAGAATCCCAAGCAGGCTTGCACTGTCAGCATGGAGTCCAATGCGGGGCTTGAACTCATGAACCGTGAGATCATGACCTGAGCTGATATCAAGAGTCGGACATTTAACTGGCTGAGCCACCCAGGTGCTGCAAGAAGCACTCATATTTCAATAAATATTTTCCTTCTTATTTTGGTGTTTTCTATATCCTAAATTATTTGACTGTACAGAAGTTGAAATTAAAATCTATTCTTCTCTCAGAACTATGGTTCATATTTCATCTCAAAAATATGTGCTTCTGTAAAACTGAATAAGAAAAACAACCTGAAACCAGGACAGTTCCTTTTTTAAAAAAATGATTATTTCCTTCTTTAAAAAAAATGTTTTTTAATGTTTATTTATTTTGAGCATGCACGCATATGTGCTGGGGAGGGGCAGAGAGAGAGGGAGAGAGAATCCCAAGCAGGGGCGTGGGTGCAGGGCTCAATCCCATGACTGTCAAATCATGACCTGAGCCACAATCAAGAGTTGGCACTTATCCAACTGAGCCACCCATGCACCCCTCTTTAAAAAAATGTTTTTAATTGTGGTAAAAACACTAATGTAAAATTCAGTCTTAATCTTTTAAGTGTAGAGTTGAGTAGTGTTGAACATATTCACGTTGTGCAACACATCTCCAGAACATTTTTTTCTTGCAAAACTAAAACTGTGTATCCATTAAACAACCTCCCATTCCTCCCTCTTAACAGTTTCTGCTACCCACCTTTCTGTTTCTATGAATTTGACTATTTTAGATACCTCTTAGAAGTAGAACCACCCAGCCTTTGTCTTTTGTGACTGGCTTATTTTGCTTAGCGTAAAGTTTTTACGGCTCACCCAAATTGTAGCACATGATGGGATTTCCTTCCCTCTGAAGGCGGAAATTCCAGTGTATGTATAGACCACCAGGTGTTTACCCATTACTCTGCTGATGGGTATTTGAGCTGCCTCCACCTCTTAGCTACTATGAATAAACTGCTATAGGTATGGGTGTGCAAATATCTAAAACCCTGCTTTCAATTCTTTTGAATATATACCCAGAAGTGCGATTGCTAGGTCACAGGATACTTCTATTTTTAATGTTCTGAGAAGCTGCCACCCTGTTTTCCACAGCAGAAATCCCACTAATAGTGCACAAGGGTTCTAATTTCTCCACATCCTTACCAACACTAGTTATTTTCTGTTTTTTGACATCCTAATGGGTGTGAGATGACAGCTCACTGGGATTCTGATTTGTATTTCCCTAATGATACTGATATTGGGTATCTTTTCATATGTTTTTTGGCCATTTGTGTTTTCTCTTTGGAATGTTATTTTAGTTTGTCCAGATGCTACTCATTTTTCAAGGCACAGCTTAAAGGTCACCTCCACATGAACCTTTTTCCCCAAATGGCAGAGCTGAAGTTAACTGTCCTGTATGTTCAAGTTTGCACATACCAAACATTTAGCACAGTGCTTTGCATCCATTAATGGTCTCTAAGAACTTTTTTCTGAATTTCCTAGGCTTAATTTTGAGGTAGGACATAACTCACCAGTTGCAAAGTCTGGCTCAGAGTCATTAGCACTATCGCCATCACTGCCGTCCAAAAGAATCTTCCTCTGTTGTACCACAGCCTTTGAGGCTGCTTTTCTTTTCCCTTGAACACCAGGAAAATCATCTTCCTCAGTAATCTTATCCAAATCTTCAGGAAAGGCATAAAAATCAACGGAAAACTTTTTGTGACAGGTAATATTGAAAGAAGTGGAGAACAGACTTCTATCACATCTGCCCATGTGATAAAACATCTGTTTTATCTGCCCAGCTTCATTCCTCTGCTGCTTCTAATAGACCACATAGTCCAACCTGGCACAACCATGATAAACGTCAATCGCCTGACAACAGAGTCCAGTTTAAGGATAAGTGTAAAACCCCACTGAGGAGTCTTTCCCCAAGAAATTTGAAAAGGGAAGCTGGGAAGATGCAGCCCCTTTCTTCAGCAGTCAATAACTATTGACTAGAAGCCACAAGTAGTCATGACCTCCCACCAGGGAAGAAAAGGAAAATGGGTCTGCAGTAAAAGAGAAGAAAACTAAAACACAAAGAAACAAAGGAGAGGAGGTGAAGAGAACCTTGACAAATTTAAATATCTTGGTTCTAGCTACAGTGTCAGGTATTTAAATAAAAGTTAGAAAAACAGAATTGTTAATAAAAAAACAATATTATTATTAATATATTAATAAATAATTAATACAAATATATTAATATATTTATTAATATAATAAAGCTTACCTAAATAATCGCTGGCTACACTGCAATTGGAGATATGAGGGGCCTTACTCATGGTCTCAGTTTCACGACTGTCACATTTTTTGATGCCTAAAGACAAGGAAGAAGGAAAAAGACAAATGCACCTTAATCAGTCAATGGGTAGAAAGAGGAAAATTGGTGTTCAAATGTAAATGCACCCGGATACAGATGAATGATCCAAGCTCAAGCTAGCACATCTTATCTTGGAAAGGTCAGCATACGGTTAGGAGTTGGGCTCTGAAATCAAACACACTTAGACTTAAGCTGAAATACGGGCTCTACCCCTTGCACTGGCTATAAGAGCATGGGAAAGTGGCTTATCCTAAGACTTTATATCCTCATCTATAATGTGGAGAGAAAAAAATAGAGTGTGGACTAATCAGGTGTATTGCGGGGGATTAAACGTGGGTCACATGTAGAAATTGCTTATTGTAATGCCCAGCACATAGGAAACAATCAATGAATATTAACTATCATTTCTGTAGTAGATACTCACTTTTACTAACAAAGACTTTTCAATCATTATAATAATCTTAACTTGATCTGAAGTATTTCAAGAGGACTTTAAGTCATGGGCCCAATTATTAAATCCCAGTGCTATAAAGTGCATTAATCTGTGAGAAGTGGTACCTCCAAGGAAGTCCTGCTATGTATCCTATCAGCTCTTACAGGAAGCAGATGAGTTCCATTTTCTCAATTTGGGGTATAAGACAATTCCCTTTTTAAGTTTCTTTAATTTCCTGATTACTAAATGGCTCCCTAATCAATCAACAGTGTTTTATTTACTGTCAAATAGGAGGCAATATGGACTGAAACATCTATACCCCTAAATGAGCTAATGAATTAAAAATATCTTCCAGCGCCATCTGGGTGGCTCAGTCGGTTAAGTGTCCGACTTCGGCTCAGGTCATGATCTCAGGGTTCATGGGCTAGAGCCCCGTGTCGGGCTCTGTGCTGACAGCTCAGAGCCTGGAGCCCGTTTCAGATTCTGTATCTCCCTCTCTCTCTGACCCTCCCCTGCTCATGCTGTCTCTTTCTCTCTCTCAGAAATAAATAAAACATTAAAAAAAATTTAAAACATTAAAATAAAACATTAAAAAAATTTTTTTAAATATCTTCCAACATGAAAGAAGTGAAAGTAATTTCATCCAAAAAGCATGTTAACAGTTTGAGTGTCTTTTCCAGGAATAGTGATTTCTGCCTCTCCAGAGTATCAATATTGCTATCTTCTACACAGTTGCCAGAAAAATCGAAGGAGAAAAATCCAGAGAAATCCACAAGTCCTACATCTCATAAGTCCACTGAGCTTGCTAACCAAACAGGTATCTTCAAGCTTTGTAAATAATAAAAATTACCCTCACTGGGTCATGTTAAACTGATTTGAATTTTGAGAGAAACGAGACAGATCTTAGGACTATATAGACCAATTCATTACTTAAGAAATTAAATTTCCACTGTAAACTAAAGTGTGACCTGGTCATCCAAGTTCATGGTCCATAACTTGGCCCAGAGTTTACATTAGGTGTTAAGCAGAGAGATGTGTGTGCAGGGATGAGATTCATGCAGAATAAGCCATGGAATCTAACTGTGCCCTCTGCAAATGGCTCCATTTCTTATCCAAAGTATTAAACTTTTATTCTTTCTTCTATGAAGGCTCATCCAGAGACATGCAGACAAAAGCAATGAGGTTATGAAGAGAAATATATAGAAAATAAAGTTACTTTCATCTCGTGCCACTTCTGCATCAGTGGTGACTGCTGGAAGTGCCTTCACTGATAAAGCGAGTGCGACTTCTAAGTCTCGCTGGTAGAGCTTGTCATCTAAAGCCATCCTAAAGGGAGACAAACAAATGAGTTTTAAAAAATATCAATCTCAGCCAAACAGCAAAATCTGCGATTTTTCTGAATTACTATTTAAGAGCTGCTAACCTTGCAAAAATGTTTTTTGAACAGTCATCATGACCAACACTGACTTCAGTGGTAGACTGCTAATGTGCAGTTATGTCATGTTATATGTAGCATACGAGACTGAAAGAGCAGCAGCCTCTGGTATTGTACGTACTGCCTCCTTTCAGTGTATTGTAAGTCCTTACTACCAACTCCAAGCACCTGCTCAACCTAGAATAGACTTACCTCAAAAATCCACTTAGAAATCTTCCTTGACCCCACTCACACCGCCTTAGGCAAGTATTATAGCTCTTATATTACACTTTTTTAATATCTGTTCCTCCCAATCTAGACTTTAACAAATATGTCACCAAGTACTTACTGTGTATAAGGCAATGTACTAGATAGAATACTAAAAGTACCATCAAGGAGTCTGCAGTTAATGAGGAGGTTAGGGAAATAAGACCTGCTGATAATTTTCCTATATGAGCAGATTATTATGTCTCCTATTCAAGGTGGTCAGAGTGCTAGGGTATGTAAGAAAAGAAATCAGAGACAGATTTTTAAAAAAAAAAAGTTTACAGAGGAGGGCACTTGTTGGGATGAGCACCGGGTATTATATGCAAACGAACTTGACAATAAACTATATATATATATATAAAAAAAAAAAAGTCTAAGGATGAAATACTGAGATGCACCTTGAAGGATTATTTTTAAAAATAACTTTTATTGAGATATAATTCACATAGCATAAAACTCATCCTTTTAAAGTATACAATTCAGCAGTCTTTAAGTATATGCAGAGTTGAGAAACCATCACCACTATCTAATTTCAGAATATTTTCATCATCCTAAAAGAGACCCTATATCTATTAGCAGTCACTCCCTGCTCACCCCTCCCCAGCACCTGGCAACCACTAATCTACTTCCTGTTTCTATGGACTCACCTATTCTAGACATTTAATGTCAGTGGAATCATACATGTGCCTTTTATGTCTGGCTTCTTCTGCTCAGCATGTTTTCAAAGTTCATCCACGTCACAGCATGTATCAGTACTTCTTTTTACTGCTGAATGATATTCTAGTGTATGGACAGACCACATACATCCATTCATGAGTTGGACGGACATTTGGACTGCTTCCATTTTTTGGCTATTATGAATAATGCTATGAACCTCTGTGTCCGAGTTTTTGTGTGGGTATATTTTCATTTCTCTTGGGTATATATCTAGCCTACGTCATAAGATAACCCGGTGCTTAACATTTTGAGGAATTGCTGCTCTGCTTTACAATGTGGCTGCACCATTTTACATTCCCAGCAACAATGTATGAGAGTTCCAGTTTCTCCACATCCTCGATAACATTGGCTATTGTCAGTCTTTTTGATTATGGCCATCCCAACGGGTGTGAAGTTATTATCTCACCATGGTTTTGATTTTCATTTCCCAACAGCTAAGGATGTCGAGCATCTTTTATGTGCTTATTAGCCATTTGGAGATCTTCTTTGGAGAAACTACGCAAATTCTTTGCCCATTTTATAAATTGGGTTATTAGTTTATTTACTGTTGAGTTGTAAGAGTTCTTTATATGTTCTGAATACAGATCCCTCATCAATTATATGATTTACAAACATTCTCTCATTTGTAGGTTTTTTGTTGTTGTTGTTGTTGTTGTTACTGTACTTAAGATGTAGTACAAGAAACTCAAAAACAGTGGTGCCTGGGTGGCTCAGTTGGTTGAGCATCAGGCTTCAGCTCAGGTCCTGATCTCACAGTTCGTGGGTTCAAGCCCCGCATCAGGCTCTGTGTTGACAGCTAGCTCAGAGCCTGGAGCCTGCTTCAGATTCTATGTCTCCCTCTCTCTCTGACCCTCCCCTGCTCACACTGTCTCTCTCTCTCAGAAATAAATTTAAAAAACATTTAAAAAAACATTAAAAACAAAGACAAAAAAAGGGAAAAAAGTAAAGAGTGGGACATGGGGAAACTGCCGCTGTGTTGATGAGCTTTTCTCCCGCTTGTGGAAGTGAACCGTACCATCCCCCATGTTCCATTTGTTAACATTCCCCTTCTGCTCATCTCCTCTCCATACTTCAGGTTTGGGGCCTCTCAGAACTTCCTTCCCTCATTCTCTCTTCTCTCTTGGAACTAGTGGAAATCCAGAATTCGTCTAGAAACTATAGGACCTTTTCAGTGCTGGACAAGTCTAAACAATATCTGCAGAAAAACACATGGTTTTAATTTTTAGAAAACTAACCTTACAGATATAATTTTTAATAAAGTAGTCTTATAAGACTTGAGGACTTTAGAGACAGATATACAGTTCTATAAAAGTAAGCTGTACCTCCTAAACTTCTAATTGTCTTTAATGATTGTCTTAATACTTAAATGAATATTTCCTTAGATGATTGTGAATTTCTATTTTAAGGCAGAAAGTCAGAAGGGGATTAACGGTACATCCCTGTTCTCCTACATTCATTAAATAAAATAATACCTACGACTGGGCTCAAGTTCTCATTTAAACAAAGAGTTCAAGGGGCTGGGTAGCTCAGGCAGTTAAGTATCCGACTTTGGCTAAGGTCATGATCTTGCAACTTGTGGGTTCAAGACCTGCATCGGGCTCTGTGCTGACAGCCCAGAGCCTGGAGCCTGTTTTAGATTCTGTGTCTCCCTTTCTTTCTGCTCCTCCTCTTCTCACGCTTTGTCTGTCTGTCTGTCTCTCTCTCTCTCAAATAAATAAATAAATAAACGTTAAAAAAAAATTAAACCAAGAGTTCGAATTTGTCCCTCTTTTAAATTGGCACATCTAATGTATATTTACTGTATGTCTTACCTCTCACCTTTTTTTAGGGGTTTTCTCTTGCAGTGGGATATCTTCTTTCTGGAGATTCTTCAGTTTAGGTTTCCTTGTTTCTAGTTTTAACTCCTTTGGTGTTGCTCTGGGTTTTTTATTTGAAGGTGCGGTTGCAGAAATAAAGTCATCTATTCATGTGTGAATCAAAAATAAAAGAATATATGAAAAAATAAAATTTAAAAAAAGCATGAAATTGCTTTTCCTAAGAAATAAAAACATTTTCTTAGCAGCTGAAATTCATTACTGTGTGTGTTCAAGGTTTAAACGTTAAGAAAGGTGTTTAATTGCCATCATTAAAAAAAGTTGGCGTATTATTTGTCTTTATTCTCACTTCTGCTTTTTAACTTTGTTTCAGAGGCATTTATTAAAATATAAGTCTATCAAAAGGCAGTTCACTAAAAAACCTGATCTAGTTCCACTGACACTCAGCGTAAACCTGCTGCGATAGATTTCACACACATGAGCAGCACATGGAGGCATACCCTCAAGGCGCACGTAGTCTTGATCACAGCGTTAGCATTTATTAACACATGTTGTCTCTGTCGAGCTTCCCCATGTTGGAATATGTTAACGTGTGACTTACCCCACCCCCACCCCATGATGTCTAGAACACTACTGGCAATTTATAAATATTTGGTGACATACTGATAACAGTAATAAAAAGCTACAAGTCAGAGTCAACACTATTTTCTCCCAAGTCTTAGACACACTTACGGTTGAGCCCAATGCAAAACAGAGGTTCCTTCAAGCCTCACAAAAACCGAACATTTGACTCTCAGAGAGCTCTGGGGGTCTGAGAAATATAACACCGATTTCAAAATATAATGTAATCTAACTAAATGTTTCTCACTTTTTGACCAAAGTTCGTTTCACAGCAGAGACCAACAAATACATAACCCAATAGGGTATAGCCTATGCCTAACCTTTCTTCAAGGTCTTGTTTTTTTCCTTCCAAGGTTTTATTTAAATTCCTGTTAGTTAACACATACTGTAATATTAGTTTATTAGTTTCAGGTGTAGAATTTAGTGATTCAACACATACAACATCCAGTGCTCATAACAAGTGGTACCTTCCTTAATCCCTATCACCTATTTAACCTACCTCCTCAACTTCCTTCTGCTAATCATCAGTTCTCTATAGTTAAGGCTTGGCTTCTTGGTTTGCCTATCTTCCCTGACCCCATGTTCATTTTGCTTCTTAAATTCCACCTGTGAGTGAAATCATATGGTCTTTGTCTTTCTCTGACTTATTTCACTTAGCCTAATACTCTCTAGCTCCATCTCCATTGTTGCCAAAGGTAAGATTTCACTCTTTTTTATAGCTGAGTAACAAACGATCCAGCAATTGCACTATTAGGTATTTACCCAAAGGATACAATAATTCTAACTGGGGAGGAGGGCACTTGTGGGGATGAGCACTGGGTGTTATATGGAAACCAACTTGACAATAAACTATTAAAAAAAATAATACTAATTGGAAGGAACACATGTACCCCAATACTTATAGCAGTATTATTTACAATAGCCAAACTAAGGAAAGTGCTCAAATGCCCATCAGTGGATGAATGGATAAAGAAGTGGTACAGAAGAATAAACAAGTGGTCTTGTTTTATTGTACAGTTAATGAGATTTCACATTATATTCCGTAACACATTTGTGTTTCAAAAGACATGTGTTCCTTTCTTCGGGAAAGGGAGAGGAGGAGTCAAACCACATTATGAGAAACGTGGGCCTAGAGTAGTTAGATCTAAAGAACTATTTTACTTGGTCCTGTTAATTTATCACTTACCTACATAATTCTTACATCAGCATAATTATGCCAAATGGTTAGAAAATTATTTTTGCAGCCCTAGCTCATATACAATTGGGTAAGATGTTCAATATTAGAGTTCTATATGTCATATAAATTCTGAGAAAATAAATTTCCAAGTTTTTAAAGCAAAAACATGAATCTCCACTTACCATCACTGTCAGAGTCCTCAAACTGTGAGTAATTGACCGGTTTCTTATGCCTATGAGCAAGATAATTTTTTAATTACACAAATGCCAATTTCCCACCTCTAATCCTTAAGACCATTGACAGTCTTGAGTAAATGAAAATGTTTCAATTCTCTTAAGAGTACTTAAACTTGACGGGGCGCCTGGGTGGCTCAGTCGGTTGAGTGACCGACTTGGGCTCAGGTCATGATCTTAGTTCATGAATTTCAGCCCTGTGTTGGGATCTGTGCTGATAGCTCAAAGCCTGGAGCCTGTCTGGGATTCTGTGTCTCCCTCTCTCTCTCTCTGCCCCTCCCCTACTTATGCTCTGTCTTTCTCTCTCTCTTCTCAAAAATAAAGACTTAAAAAAAAGTTTTTAAAAAAGAAGTTGGATTTTACAGTAGGGACGTAGCATTAGCTTAAAGAGTTACAACTATACTTGATATACCCGATAAGGAAAAAAAATAATTCAGATAACCCTCAAAGTTAAAATAATAACATTAACACAATTTATATACTGTTTAATTGCTATGGGGCACTTATAAGTTCCTGTTGTATTTATTCTTTTGTTTTATAAATTCATTGTCTTCTTACTAGATTATAAACTTGACACTTAAAGCTATTTACTCTGTCTTTTTAATCTCCCCACAATACTAATGTTCTTTATGCAAAACGTTGAAACAATGGCGACTTTCTACCTGCCACCTGAAATGAATCTTCATACTACTTTAGAAAACCATTAGAAGAAAGTGATATTCAAAGTGAAAATAATTAATTCACTTTCTTCCTTCTTCCTCTAGGCACTAAATAAAATGTCCTTGTAGTTTTCTTTTCTACCTCCCACCAAATACCCAAGTGTGAATAACCTAGTAGATCGGTTTTTCTTTCAAGGAAAATGGGTGTTCTATGAAAAAGAGGTCAGGTCAGCTCCTAACTCAAACAATCTTACAAGTGCTTTTCCTGAAAACAACCACCATAGAAGTACTTTATGTATGTATCTCGTTTCCTCATTTGGAATATTAAAATGAAGAGTACTCTTGTTACTCTCCTACTCTTTGGAGTCAAAGAATTTAATTTTTTTTAAAAATTTTTAATGTTTTATTTATTTCTGAGAGAGAGAGACAGACAGACAGACAGAGTGAGCAGGGGAGGGTCAGAGAGAGAGGGAGACACAGAATCTGAAGCAGGCTCCTGGCTCTGAGCTGTCAGCACAGAGCCCGACGCGGGGCTTGAACCCATGAACTGTGAGATCATGACCTGAGCCGAAGTCGGACGCTTAACCGATTGAACCACCCAGGCACCCCTGGAGTCAAAGAATTTTAAAAGCTGAATAAAATATGAAAGCCTCTTTAGAAATTCTGAGACTGAATAATAGTAAAAATAAAAACTCTTAAAAAAAAGTATTCTCAATAATTGAGCTATAATGAGTATGATAATTTTTACTGCTTGATCAAGCACATTCTTAAGTGAAATTGGTATTTTTTTGTACTCTGAGTGTGCAGCAGGAAAGAATACAATGACACTTGTACAGTGTGGTGTCATTGCCTTGATTGGTGATAAGGAGCAAGCAGTTACACCACCATTGCAGTGCAGATGACAGAACAATGAAAAAAGTGAGCAATGTCTTAGGATTATTGTGAAAATAGTTTTGACCTCATGGACCTCCTCAGAGGGCCTTAGGGAACCCTAGGGGTCTTCAGACCATACTTTGACCACTGTTGCTCCAGCAAAGGGATTATGTCCTTGCTACTTGGGTGGACATACTCAAAATCCATTTCAGACTTCATGTGTTCAAATGGAACTCCTGATCCCCCACACCTCCTGAACCTGCTCCCTTTCCTCACCTTCCTCATCTTGGTTAGTACAATGACCATAAATTCAGTAGCTCAAGCCAAAAACACCGTGAAACCATCCTTCTTTTTTCCCCTTAATCTCCATATCCACTTCATCAGCAAGTTCTGTCAGCAATATCTCCAAAATACATCCCTAATCCTTCTGTCCCATTCCATGTCCACTGATAACATCCCACTCCAAACCACTATCTGATGATGTAGTGGTTTCCTTGTTCCCATTCTGGTCACCCCATCTCCCATTCCTTCTCCACCAGCAGCCAGTAAACTTTATAAAACCAAAATCAGATTTCCCTGCCCTACTTAAAACTCTCCGTTGACTTCCCATTGTTAGTAGAATCCAATCCAAACTCCTTTTTAAAGCCTACAAGGTCCTACCTACTCTGGCCCCTGCCTAGTTCTCTGCCCTAATACCCTACAATTCCCCCCACTGCTTGTTAATGCTACAGCTTTAGAGGCCTTCTTTCTGTTCCTCAAACACAGTAAAGCTCAGGGTGTTGGGTTTTTTCCCCTCTACGTGGACTGCCCTTGATTTTCACTAGCTAGCTCCTTCTCATCATTCATGTCTCAAATCATGTATCATCTCTGCAGAGAGGCACATCCTAACTACACTACTCACAGTAAGGCTTTCCTCCTTCTCACTATCACTTTTCAGTATTTGTTTGTGGCCCCCTACCCTCACCCCTGGACTAGAATGTAAACTACTACACCTAGTGGGATATATTAATCTTTATTACAATAACTTTCTAAATGACTGTCGGCCTCCATAGCGCTCCATGGTGGTCAAGTAGAGGAATAGTTTCAAATAGTATAATAGAAAACACAGAGGATCTGGAACCAGTATGATTTGAGTATTATCCTGCCATTCACTGTGTGCCTCAGCTAACTTGGCCTTTAGGCCTGGGAGTTTAAATCGATAAAACAGGGATACCTAAACTGCTATACCAGAGACTATAGTGATAAAATAAAAAATAAAAACAAACAAATAACACGTAACTAGGAACTCGTTGAAATGTAAAGCGCTGTTCGAATGCTAACACAATAAGGGCTTATTTAAATGGGGTGGGGGGTAAAAGAATCGGCAATAGCTACGGAAGGCAAAGAAGGAAAGAGGTAGGATGCTAGGATACTACCGCAGAATGGGTGGCTCTCAGTGGAGACTGAGAGCTTCCCAAAAACCGTCCATCACACCTTCGCTACCCACCGTCCCATTCAGCCCTATCCCGCCAATCGTGTGCAGGCCGAGTTGCCTTCAGCGTCTTCCTGCTTCTGCTCCCCATCCCCGCCAATGTCATGAACTACCCACCTCACAGGCCGCACCATAGCCCCCTCCAAGGCTGAAAATTTGCAGCACTGAAGTTCTTGTTGGCAGCAGTGGCGGTTTCAATTCCCGCCCAAAACCAGACACCAGAGCTCTCCGCCCCCTGCCACCAGCCCTCCAATGATTACCAGCCATCCTCGATGCAGCGCATGCGCACTGAGAAGAGGCGCAGGCTCACACCATTCCCAAGATATTGCCCTTCCGCATCCGGTCTACCAAAGCGGAGCACAAGCTTTTCTAACGCACTTTCGTCACGACAGTGGATTTTTTTTTTTTTTCCCCCCAGCCTTCTCTGAAATTCACAATAATAGTAGAAATACGCCTTCTTACATTTTCAAATGACTAAACTGAGGCAAGATGGGAAAAGGGGGCATTTATTCCGGGGAATTTTCTCTAGGGTGCCGGGAAACCGTAAAATGTATGGACGAATCTGCTAATGCATATCTGCTGGCTGTAAAAACAGGTCCGCAAGTCAGCTGAGGTTCCGGCGCCCAGCTAGTTGACAGCTGTGGTGTGTGGACTGCTCAGGACTTCAAAACTAAGGGTAGGTGAGCCCAGAACCAGGAGCATGGAAACCCGTACAGTCTGAAAGCGGCTAATGGAGAGAATATTCTCTTTACTCGTCTGGAGCTTCTGGCGCCTGCAGCTTTCCCTCCCTTTCCCTAATTTGAGCCTCAGAGCTGCCACTCTGGCGGTGGAGTTCGGTCTGGCCTGCCTCCTACCATCTCAGTTTTCTCTCGGAAACCTTCCTTAATTTTATCCCTGATTAAAAAAAATTTTTTTTAAGTGAGGGAGGGAACTAAATTATCGTTTTGTTAAAACATAATAAGCTTAAATGTTGAACCGATTGATTCCAGAACTACTGGTTTTTGTTCACCGAAAATACTGAATTTAAACAATTAGACCATAAACCTATGTTTCTGTAACTTTCAGTTCCCTGCTACAGTGTTCCTTTACTGTGTTTGTCTTCGTGTGTACTCATTTAGCAACCTGTGATTTTTTTTAACATGTTCGTAAAGAACTTCATTATTATTACTACTTTTCCTCTGTTGATTATCCTATGTTTATCAGATGCTTCGTTTTTATTGTTAGATTAATCCTTATAACAGCCCTACGAATTAAAAGGCTCCTCAGTGCCTGTGTAAGATGAGACCTGAGGAATGAGTAGTTGTTATCCAAGGAAAGAAAAGTAGTTAAGAGTGCTCTGGGATCACTTTTTCCACTTCAGAAAGGTTAGAAGTGGAAAGAGAGGTTTAGTATTGAAAGGAGTTCAGAGTGACTTGAAAATTGTTTGTGACTTTATGGAGGGGGTACAGGTGCTGGGGGGAAAGTCTAAAGATATAAGCAGAGATATGGTAAACCGGAATAAAGAGCTTGCATTTTTAAAAATTTATTTATTTTGAGAGTGAGCATGCAAGCGGGGTAGGGGCAGAGAGAGAGAGAGAGGAGAGAATCCCAAGCAGGGTCCTTGCTATCAGCACAGAGCCCTTGCGGAGGAGGGCGATGCTCAATCCTTGGAACAGTGAGATCATGATCTGAGCCAAAACTGTGAGTAAGTTGCTCAACCGATTAAGCCAGGCAGGTACCCCAAGGAACTTGAGTTTTATTCTGAGAGCAATAGAATGTGACCAAAGGGTGTTAAGCAGATGAACAACATGATCAGATAGGCACTTTGGAAAGATTACTGTGAAAATTGGCCCGATGGTGAAAATCCTAGAGACAGGGAGCCTAGTAAGGAGGCTGATAAATAAATCTAAATCTAAATCTTTAATCAAATAAATCTTTAATTAATGTTGATTCTTACTCTTTTTGGCCATATTTTCTTTGTTTTGAAGTGTCCAGTTTGCCTTTTGGGATATCCTGTACTGTGTGTGTGTGTTTCCTACATAGAAATATTTCCAGCACCATCTATGTCCAATAAGATCTCATATGCACAGATCTAAGATCGTCAAGATGACTTCTTGGTCCCTGATCTATTTCTTTGACTTTGTATTCACCCATTGTTTCATAAGCTCTCTATCTGTCCACCCGTTCATCTCTTCCTAAGAATCTTCTCTGCTCTTCTCTCCATGTTTTCCCCTTATTCTTGAGAACCCTGCCTTGGAATGAAAAATACCTTACTGGCATAATGGGTTTTTTCCCCCCTAAATGAAATTTAAAAGGAGCTTTATTCCTTAAAAAAAAAACAAAAAAAAAAACACATGTCATTTTCTTCACAAAGATGAAAATGCAGGAATAAAGGTAGGAAAACCTGGAATAATTAGCTCCGGGTCACACAAACAAAATCACTGAGTGGTACATGTTTTCTTAGAGGTAGTACAGCATAATGAAACATGAGTTTTGTGGACTTACACTCCACTGGATTTTTGTTTGTTTGTTTGTTCTATAGAAATCCTGCCAAAGAAGATGAAGAAAACCAGAGAAAGATTCTGCAGCAGAGAGAGGGAATTTGTGTATAAATTCAGAGTAGGAACTCAATGCTTAGAACTGAGGGTACCCCTCAAATTTCCTGTTCAAGAGAATGCCAGTCGTTTACATGGACGTCTGATGCTGCTGCACAGTTTACCATGCTTTGTAGAAAAAGGTGAGGACTGATGTTTGTAATACAACTTTATTACTTTCCTATGGTCTCTTTCCTTTGATATTTATCTATACAATGGAATACTACATGGCAATGAGAAAGAATGAAATCTGGCCATGTGCAGCAACATGGATGGAACTCGAGGGTATTATGCTGAGTGAAATAAGTCAGGCAGAGGACAGGACCATATGTTTGCACGTATAGGAGGATTAGGAGGAACTTAACGGAGTACTGTGGGGAAGAAGAAAGGGGGAAATGGGGGGGAGAGGGAGGGAGGCAAACCATGAGAGACTCTTGAATGTTGAGAACAAACTGAGGGCTGATAGGGGTGGGGGGAGGGGAGAATGGGGGAGGGCACTTGTGGGGATGAGCACTGGGTGTTATATGGAAACCAACTTGACAATAAACTACTAAAAAAAAAAAAAAGAATAAACATGAGAAGCTTGAAACACAATAAAATAAGCAGTATTTAAATGCTTCCGAGAATAAGATTCCCCAGATCATTGTTTCATTGTTTCTTTTTCCTGTACCCCTTGAGTTGTTTATAAGGCGATTTGCTATAAAAATTAATTTATAAGGGTGCCTGGATGGTTCTGTTGGTTCAGTGTCCGACTTTGGCTCAGGTCATAATCTCAGGTCATGATCTCACACTTCATGAGTTCAAGCCCCACATCAGGCTCTGTGCTGACAGCTCAGAGCCTGGAGCCTGCTTCAGATTCTGTGGCTCCTTCTCTCTCTGCCCCTCCCCCTCTTGCACTCTGTCTCTCTCTCAAAAATAAATTTTAAAAAAACATTAAAATTTTTTTCAAAAATTAAAAAAAATAATTTACATAATGAAAACTCAGTTACATATTTGGGTTAGAATGCTTAAATTCTTAATAACTAACCAACTAAGGGTGGATTCATTTCAGCTATCCCTGATTATGATATAAAACTGTTGTGCTAAATACATTGCTTTTTAATTTTTACTTACCTAAATCAATGCCGTAAGGCCATCTGTATTAAATTATTTTAAAAGGTCTGTGTTCTATTTCACAGATGTGGAAAAAATTTTAAATTGGGAATATGTTGGATCATAAAAAGTTAAGAATTATAAGGAAAGCTAGGAACTTTCTAGCACAATCTCATTGTACAAGTAAGGAGACTGGTGCATTGAAATGTTAAATTGTTTGCCTAAGGCAGTAGTTCTCAAAAGCTGTTCCCTGATCAGAATCTACAGCATCTCCTGGAACCTTGTTAGAAATGCACATCCTTGGGCCTCTCCCCATTCTTACAGAATCAGACACTCTGGGGGTGGCATACAGCAATCTATTTCAGTAAGCCCTCCAGGGAATTCTGACTCATGCTAAAAATTGAGAACCACTGGTCTACAGTTACAAACATAATGGCAGAGCCAAGACCAGAACACAGGTATCCTGATTTCTATCTCTGTTCTCTTTCCATTATATTATCTCCAAGTAGTGTCTCTAAAATTGAGATTATATATCATCCCAATTAAATCATTTTTAATATGATAATCATTCAGTTTCTTTTTCAAACTCAAATAGTATAACTCTCTATATAAGAAACTGTAAATGTTTTTCATTTAAATACAGTAAACTTCAGACCCTCAAAACCTGTAGGTTTTTCTTTACATGAATTTACCTGCTCAGTTTCAAATATAAGCTTGATAAAATAAAATTTCATGTTGGAACGCCTAGCCAGGTAAAATGTTCCCTGTTCATGTCTGGATTTTGCTTTTGGTGGTATTTCTTGTCCGTGTTACAGACTTAAAAGAAGCTCTGAGCCAGTTTATAGAAGAAGAATCCCTCAGAGATTATGATAGAGATGCTGAAGTGTCCCTGGAAGCTGTGAAGTCAGGTGAAGTTGATTTACATCAGCTGGCCAGTACATGGGCCAAAGCTTATGCCGAGGTAAGAAAATAGATCAGATTGTAAATTTCAGGGATAACCTGGACTTTGGTGAAGATTATTAAACTGCTAAAGTAATGCCAAAGCAACCGTAGAATCCTTTTCTCTCTACATACAAGACTATTCCAAAATGTACAATATACATCGATGCTCCTGTGCCTCCTTCCTGTACCAGGTGAGCGTTTACGACACAATAGTTCATGTAATGCCTTTGTAAAAGAAGAGCTACTTCTGTATTTCTAACCCATACAGGGTTGGCAGAGTTAGCGATTAAAAATACAGGGCACCCAGTTGAAACAGAATCTCAAAAAATGAATACTTTTTTGTATAATTATATCCCACTTATTATATGGAACGTACTAATAGTAAAATTTATTCTTTGTTTATCTGAAATTCTAATTTAACAGAGTGACCTGTATTTTATCTGGCAACCTTAAGCTAACAGTGGTAGCTCATTTTAAGTTTTGATTTACTTTTGTCCTCTCATTTATCCTCACTGTACTCTTGATATCATCATTTTTCCATGTAAATAATACTTCCTGTTTCATTAAGTCTTAAGATGCCATGGATCATAACAACACTATTATTTTATT